TTGAACAATTCGAAATTTCGATCTTACAACGATTCTCAAACATAATCAAATAAAAAGATTATTATTATCAGTAAATTTAACAGACTTTCAAATTCTAATCTTACTACGTAATTCTCAAACGTAATTAGATTTATCATTGTCAGTAAATTTCGCACTGAATTTGATTCTTTTAAAAATTTCTTATCTAATCTTGAGAAATTGAAATTTTCTTACGAACGCCGTTCTTACGAAATCCTCTTGTACACAAGTTTGATTCTTCATCAATTCTGTGTTAATCCAATCCAACAACGAACAACAACGAACCAACGTTAAAATTCCCAGGTGAAAAAGTTTTTTCGAACAGCGTATCGCGGGCAAACTATTTTTCTCTTTTTTCGAAAGTGAACCGAGTGGAGTTCAATTGTCACGTCCGACACGAATCGTCCAGAATAAAACCTTCTGTACCGTGCGATTTTTCAACGCAAATTTCTCGACACGGTACCGATGAACGCGTCGACATTTTACTTCCCTTGTCTTTTCCCGTTCCTGGATCCGTTTCCTCCTGCGATCGAATTCGAATTCCGGACTAGAAACAAAAAAAACGACAGAACGATCGTTCCTTCGATCGCTATGCTGCAGAAGGCGTGTTACAAGCCGGATAATTCGAAACAAGTGTTACGTCTAATTTACTACTTTACACGTGCTGAATAAGTAACAAGGCGGACGCCGGCACTTTCTCTGTGCGCGAATACGGCCAATCGAATCCGGGCGTTATGCATAATGCATTGGTCAACGGAACCGCGAAAATTTACGGACTACGCGGACACATCGATGTCTCAATTATGCCCGGCCTCGGTTTAATCCGCGGCGTTTTCGCTCGCAGACACACAACACGGCGATTGAGACACAGTCGAGAGAAAGGGGAAGTGAGTTAATGGTTCCTGCCGGAGTAATTCGAAATACTCTGTGTGTTTTCCAGGGAAGAGAGATAGAACATTGGGGGAATTGCACGGTATGAAATATTAGCTCGTGCCTGTTCCACGTTCACCCGATCAAATTGCTAGCTGTAGAGTTTTCCTTGCAAAGAATGAATCGTCGATTTATAGTTCTTTCGCTTCGACGTCCAATTGCCATTAATTTTCCTTTTGATCGAAAAATTCTTCACTGAGGCATAATACTGTTGATACTGTACAACAATTGATAATAAATATTTGAGTTTGAATAAATTGAACGAATTAAATTGCCGAGAGACGTTAACATATTTTTTTGTTTTAATGTATATTAATGTATATTATATAATTGTATTAATATATTTTAATGTACATTAATGTATATTGTATAATTGTATTAAAGTATTTTAATGTACATTAATGTTTATTATATAATTATATTAATGTATTTTAATGTACATTAATGTATATTATATAATTGTATTAAAATATTTTAATGTACATTAATGTATATTATATAATTGTAATGAATATATAATGTACATTATTATTTGTATTATGTATATTTTTGAATCCACTGGAACTACATTAATAAATTATTACCTTCAAGAAGTCAATCAGTAAGTAGTTCGACAAAATTAACAATATTAGTCGTGGATTATAATCAAGTAATAATACAGAATAGGAATATTTTAATGATAATATTAAACATTTTTAATTAAATTACACGAAATACTGGTACTTCAGTTATAATATAAATTGTATCCTCGCTTTACACGTTTACTGTAAATGTCTATTTTTTAAAATAAATTCGACACTATTTCCACATGCTTCGTTAAAAAACGTCCAAAGCTCTCTGGTTCGATTAATCTCTGGCAATCGCCACGAAGATGAATCAGAGTTTCAATTGCTCTGTTCGAGGTGAATTACGCATCTCTCTTCGAGCGCGTTGAAGTCACCCTCCGATGGCGTGTGTGTCGCGAGCACGTTCCAACAGAGCGGATTTTCTCGGCCTCGCAAGTTTCATCGTCCCGCATGCTGATATCATAAAGCCATAAGGCCGGTCCGCGCTCGAAACTCGAGCGATTTCTCGCTCGAATGAGCAATACCGCTCATCATCGACGAGGAGAATCTACGATCGCGCCAGTTGAAAAAGCTGCACACCGAGACACGAAAAAACGCAGAAATCGCTTTGCTCGCGTATTTGCGAACGCAATTTGAATATTCTAATCCAATTCGACTCGCGACGAGTCACTCGATCGTAAATATCCCGACGAGACAAATTTTAAACGCGATTTCGTTCGAAACGACCGTGACAGGAAAATCGGGGAACGACGCAACATTCTCGACGAATGGTTGACCTCTGTTGAACCCTTCCACTCGCTCGTGATCGATTCCATCCCGTTCGATTTCATGCACGCGAAACGACTACCGTTGAACAAGGTCGTTGAGTGAGGAGATCAAGTCTTTTGAACTTTTTGAACGACGTGGCTTGAACTGTTTTAAAGTATAACGAGACGAGTTGTAGGTAGTAAGGGCTTTTTATACTTCGATGGATGGTTCATTCGGGTTTCTATCAGAAAGCTTCGACATCGAAATCAAAATTGAGAAATCAAAATATCACTGAGTAATAAATTGTGGTGTATTTTGATAATTATTTTCGTTTAGAGAGAATGAAATATTATCGAACGATAGATTGTGATATCCTTTAATAATTTTCCTACTTCCTGTTTTGGAATTTTAAAGAACTTTCTTTTGGAATTCGTTCGTGTTCCAACTTTACCGAAAACGTGGAGAACATTGAAGTATCCCCGAAATATGGTACGAACTTGAAAGATCAGGAAAGATAAATTAAAAAATTTTTGAGCAATGATACACTACAACAATAATAAAATAAAACCTCCTATTTTACAATAATAATAAAATAAAACTTCCTATTTTAAAATTTGTTCATCTTTCACTTAAAAAAAAAAAAACTAAAAAGCATCAACAACTTTGAATAGTCCTGATATTTTTGCAATATCCAATCATTTTCAAACATAAATTATTGGGTTAAGACAAGCAATTGTCTTCCTTTTTAATAGACAGACACACACATAGACAAATGTAATTAACTTCATTGAAATGTAATTAATTTCATTTTAAATTGCAAATTTATTGTGCAGTCCGATAACTCTTAGTCCGATAGTTTTTAGCTTGTTCTAGAAAAAGAAAAATGTACGATTTCGTTAACAATAAAAATTGTTTACTTAACATTGATTTCAAAAAGGGACATTTTCGTCGTATTTTAATCTACTATTCTTGAGAAGGAATAAAACACTGTACAAGCTCATGCAAAATTATCTTACTGCGTGTAGTGAAGAAATCTTGAAACCCTATAGAATTCGTTTGCCAAATTTAAGGGACTGTCCTTTCTCGAGAAATATAAAGTCTTTAAAGTTGACTGAAAAATGGCAAAAAAAAAAAAAAAAATGAACAAATAAATATTGTCCAATAAAATGAAAAATCCTTTCATTTGCACGCAGAAAAGAAAAACTCAGCCACTTTTCTAATCTACTAACAACTTAAATGAAACTGAACAAAAAAAAAAAAAAAGACACGAAAACAGTGTGTCTAAATAAAAAAAACCAAAAAGCATCGATAACTTTGAACAATCCTGATTCGGCTTATTATTTATACTTCCCATAAATTAAAAGAAAAAAAAAGGAAAAAAAAAAACGCCGCGAGAGGGACATCGAAAACAGTTTCGTCTAAATCGAAAAGAATCTATCAGCATTAACTCGCTTAGGCTGCCCGGCGCGGATGGCCACGCTCGCATCGGGAGTTAATAAAGGGAACAGCGTAAAATTTATTCATACACCTACCGTGGCAAGCCGTATCTGCGTCGTTGGTTTCTTGATTGTAATACCGCGAGCCGGCCGGCCGGCCGATTAAAATCGCCGATACATAGGTGTTCCAGCGAGTGTAATAAAATACGCGGCGAGAGGAAGGCGGACGGAAGAAAAGAGCGCATGTGCTGGCACATGCCGAGGAGATGGCCGAGCCGAGGCTGGACACAGGCAGAGAACGCGTTATGGACATCGGTTGCTCTAGCGGCCACGAGCGTGGGCGTCCACGTATGATTGTTACGAGTTTATGCTCCCACACATGCAACACTTGCGCGCGCGATACGTGTTTGCAGCTGCGTGTTACGTGTTCCCCGAGAGAGGGAACGATTCTCGGATCGGACGCTGCGGTCACTGGGATTTTGCCGCCGATCGAACGAGATCGAGCTGGCTCGATTCTCCGAGTAAATTGTCTCGGATGCTTGGTTGGTCTCTTCAACTCTTTTACGAGATGGCGGCGACTCGAGCGACTCGCGTTGCACGATGTTCGCTGTTTCGTCTCGTAAAGCGTAATGGGTTTAACGATGTATTTACATGCACGTACGGCCACTCGGAGAAAGTTGATTATCTGCCGGTCGAGTGGCACGTGAAATTACGATAGTTTTGTTCGTTGGTTGATTTGTGGGATGCTGGTGGATTTTAGTGGTTCACCAATCAGATGGTAAATCGTCTGGCTCGTGCGTGACTTTTCTACTTCGCTTAATAGACGAGTTACTGATAATTCGTTGTTTCGAAGAATTCGCTTTTTCTCTGTGTTTTTTCTTTCGTTGAGTACGATTAGCTGGATCAGGAAATCGATAAAAGATCGTTTCACTATAAATGATCAATTTTGTGGAAATGAGAGGAGAACGAACGAAGTAATAAAATGTACATAAATATCTAAAGACTGAATGAAATAAAATTAACTCAACAATGATCTCTCCATTGAAATCACTGAGTATTAATTAAAATAATTGAACCCATCACCGAAAAATCCGAAATTAATCCAGGAAAAAAATCCAACGCGCCGAAACCAACAATGAAATAAAAATACCGCACGATTCCTTGAAACTTCGTCGCGTGGTCAAATATCAATGATCAGCGTTAATTGCAAGTTATATCGGGCACATAATCGCGAATGGCGCGTTATCCTTGCACTGGAGACAGTAGTCAGCAGTCGTTGACGTTTGTTTTGTTCTTGTTGCAGATACGCGAAATTGGCGGGCAGCAGAATCGGTGGGCATAATCGAGGTGAGTCAGTGGAAGAAGGCGCAGACCTTAAACCGCTGTCGCCGGGTGAAAACTTATGGAGCGATTATGGAGTTCTTTTCTCCGTGGGGATTTGCCCTTGTCGTCTTTTTTTTTCCTCTCTTTTTCTTTTTTTCACGAGCCTCCGAGAAGCGAAGGTAGGCCGTCACACCTAGGTGAGGCGAAGCATGGCTACCCTGTGTCGAACAAAAAGCCCCAAACGAATCCCAATAACAGCTGAGATTATCACAGAAATTGTAGTAAAATTGGCTACCTTCAAACGTGCATATTCTTCTATATCAAAAATGTATCAAAACTGTGAAATTTGGACTACAAGTTCTGAAGAAGATTGTGATCAAACATTTACAATTGGTGTTAAAAATTAATCGTCGAATTAAAAGAGTATAAACTTCTGTTAATTTAAGAAATCCCTTTGTTGATGATTTATCGAATTAATAATAAAATTGGTGAAAGATAAAATATAAGTAAAAATGTTCGAATTCGTTGGCTACCTGAAACGTACATATTCTTCAATATAAGAAGAATTCTATATCAACACTGTGATATTTGGACTATCAGTTTTCAAAAATTGGTATCAAAAGTTATTCGTTCAAATTCTGATCGTCGAATTAAAAGAGTCTAGACTTGATGATTTATCGAACGAACAACAAGATTGGCGAATGATAAAATATAGGTAACAATATTTGATACAATCGATATGATCTTTCGATGCGTTTTCATTCGTGCCATACAGTTAAACTGTAAGATAAAAATGATAGTCAAATCTAAATTTTCCACAAAACACAGTAGAAGACGTTCATTGATGGGAAAGTGTAAAACGCGCATTTAACATAAGGGATGAATTTTAATCGGAATACCGATCGACGATTAAAGTACCTTTAACTTTCAAGTCAACTCGCTTCCACCTTTTACAAAAAAAAAAAAAAAAATTCGTGCCTTCCGAATTTTCAAGTTTCCGAGACATTCGCCGGAAAAGCATCACTCGATGGACGCTGCACGATCGAAAATTCGCAGCGGAACGGCGTTATCCGTTCCGTTCCGTTCCAAGTAGCGATTCGAAGGAAGTCGGCAATCCAAGTCGGATTGACACAAATGCCCGTTCTAAACGGCTCGCGCCTCGATTTTAATCGCGGGGATTGTGATTCACTCAGGCGAGCCGTTCATACCTGCGAACCGGCAATTTAAAAGTTAACCCGCCGTGTTATCGCGGCAGAATTAATGGCTGCCTTCTTGCACGCCCTGCACTTGAAATCGATACACAGAAGGTACATGCTAATCTACGCGGCGCGCAAACAGCACGGAACTGTTGCAATTAATTTCAGAGAACCGGTATGCAGAAAGAGAGCGAGAAAGAAAGCGACTATCGAAGAATATCTCGGAATATCGGCACCGCGGAAGTTCACTGTATCCGGCCGTGCGGTGTATATTAAAATGCATCCAGCCGGTAATAGGAGTAAACTTCGTTATGTACACAGGTGTTGTTTATTTAGTTGCGCCACGAATATCGCCACTTCGTTCCGTGTAGAGAGGCCCGATCGTATCGTGAATATCTCGCGGGATCTAAGGATCGATTAATCAGACGCTTTACGATGGTATTGGTGATCCTTTGGATTCAGAATGATGTTACTATGGACTTTTTTTTCGGGGGAATTTATTATTCTGGATAATTGAAAATTGTTCGAATGATACGTGCCTTATGGATATAAATATCATTTTGTATTTACGATCGTTCCAAAGAATCGAATTCATTCAGTTCGTATTACTTTTGTTTCGATACATTCGATACGTCTATTGCTTAAAAGAAAACTACTAAAAAGAAAAAAAAAATGATAACCATCAGTTAAAAAAACGTAGAAATAACAACCAGTGTAAAAATGATGGAAATATTACCATTGTGTACGCGCAATTTTTACAACAATTAAAATTTAATTTTCCATAAAATATTAAAGCAAAAAATGAGAGATTCCTCGAGACACACAATCTCTACAATTCGAAAGACATAATTACAAATCTTGATCGACTTACGACCATACGCTCTATTCTACTCTGAAAGACCACCCTGTGAAACCCTGGCGAACCTTACAAGCACGAAAAAACACCGACGTCAATAACGATTCTTTGCCGGGAGAGAAAAAGCTAACAAACCTCTTAATAGACACCGTATCTTCCGACGTGCAACGAGCTTCTTACCCACGGAGTTATGGCAACCAGTTTAAGGAAAACCTTGGCAGTCTTTCTCTCCGGGCGCTCATTTAACGTCAGCGAGTCGCAGCCAGCCTCGTCTTTCAAACTTTCAACCTCGCGAGTCCGCTGTTAAAGGAAAACGTTCCATTCACGAAGATCAATTTACGACCGCGATTTCTTCCGGTTTTTCGATCGAGGAGACGATTGAGAGAGAGAGAGAGAGAGAGAGAGAGAGAGACAGACAGAGAGACAGAGAGACAGAGAAGAGTCGATCGGTGCATTCCGAGCCTATTAAAACATCGTTAGCGAAATCCGCAGAAACAACATGAAGGTGGACAGAAGAGGAGAAGAAAAATGGGAGGGGGGAGGGGGAGGGGGAAGAACCGAAGGGAGAGTCAAGCGGCACCGCTTGAACGTCTTTCATTTAAATACGTCTTCGATTAATCAGCCGGACAACAAAAGGAAGGAACCCGAAGAAATCACGGATCGATGGTTTTACCGCGCTGACGACACACATACGTCTTCTGTCGGCTCGAGCCAGCCAGATGTCTGGCATCGGGGCTTGTCTTCGACAATTCAATAAAGCATTTCTTCCGAGCAGCGTCGTGTTCTCCAGCGGAGGCTCTCAGGCTCTCGTTCGCCTCTCGTCTAGCCGGAGCGCGGCTATGTTCTAGTGAGAACATCATCGATCATCATTAGCTGCTGCTCCACGAGAACGTTGTGTTCGGCCTCCAGCGCCAACATGCTGGAGCGGGAAATTATTTAAGCGGCTGTCTCGTACCGAAAATCGAACCGCGTTCCATCGTCGTATCTCTTCCTTTGGTCTCTTTTTCTTCATCGGTCCGCTTTTTCCTCCGTAATTATCCGGCCACCAGCGTTCGCCCGCCTCGACCGGCAGAATGATAATTAATAACGCGAGCCAGTCTATGACGGATCGTTCGACGGATCATTCTTTCGCGAAACGATCTCGATGAGCGACGACGCGCGACTTGCCGTTTAATTGAAGAACTTGTCCATGTCATTTGAAAACATTTCCATTCAATCGATATTGAATTAATATTCGGCGTGTGTATCGTTCTGTGTTTCTTTAATCACCTGCGCTTGGCAACTGATTGCGGACCGTAACGAGTGACCAAACAAGTATACAATAATTTGTCGCTTTTTCCTTGAACTGCTCGGTGTGACATCACTGGATAGAGATTATCGAGAAGTGATAAATTTATTATCTGTTGTTTTACTTAAATATATAGTTGAAACTGAGAAAATATTGCAATTTTGGGACAGAAAATTCTCGACATTATTCCAAGAGGTTATCGCAAGAGGTTAACTTCGAAACAGAAAGTTTCTTACTAAAAGTCCAACTCACTTTCTCATGAAATATTACTGAAATTCAAGCCTATACCAAGACACAAAGAATGAAAGTTTCAGTCGTATCGCGATGAAAAATTGCTCGCTCAAGATTCACAATTCTTGCAATTACGTTTGCATTCGTACGATTCAGAGAGATAAGTTCGACAGCAACTTATCTTGGCAACGTTAGCCACCAGCCGTATTTCAGTGCCGATATTCCACGCAATTAAACTAATTTATGTCGATCGGAAAGAGCCCAAGCCCATTAATAAATCAAGCTTAACAATTCACCCCGTCAATTACTATCGATAAACCAAAAACGATTCCATTAGATTTCATACGGGACATTTGTAGATACCATTCTCTTTAGCGATCGTAGATAGTTAAACGAACAGGCAGGCAGATCGTCGTTCATCGAATCAGCGTTTAGTTTCGCGGAGACTGTCGGGATCGTCGTTGCCGAGCGTTTCAGGCTCCTCGTTAGGCAGAAATTTACGACAATGCAACGCAACGTCTGTTTATGACGGAGGAAGGCGGAACGAGACCAGAGAGGGGCGAAAGGGTATACTAATGCAGACGGCTGGACAGAAACGGGCATGAAGCCTCAGATAATGCACCGTGCTCGGGATAAGTAGGGAAAAATCTTCCTTCTTCACTCGCTGAAGGAGTAATTCGATTCTCCATGGCGCGTGATTCTGTGTCGTTCTCGTTCGAGGTTATGCTAGTGTGCCGTTTAGATTTATTCGGCGTACTTCTCGCAATTGAATCGAATTGAGTTCGAAATGTGTTTGGACTTTAGCCTGATTTTCACTTCTAAACGTTGTGTTTTAATTTTATTGGTAGACGATATAAATGTTGTGAGAATTTATTAATTTTAGTCTGATTTTCACTTCTAAACGTTGTGCTTTAATTTTATTGGTAGACGATATAAATGTTGTGAGCATTTATTAATTTTAGCCTGATTTTCACTTCTAAACGTTGTGCTTTAATTTTATTGGTAGACGATATAAATGTTGTGAGCATTTATTAATTTTAGTGTGATTTTCACTTCTGAACGTTGTGCTTTAATTTTATTGGTGGACGATATAAATGTTGTAAGAATTTTTATATTGCAAGTATTTGAAAATATAAATCGTAGAAGTAGTGATTTTTCTTTTTTATTGAAAATACCCGATACTTAATTTACAAAGATACTAGAAGAAATATTCGTATTTATAATTTATATTATAATTTATATTTAGTAGAAGAATTTTATTATTATTTCCTAAATTATGTTCAAACAACTCAAAGTGCTATTTGAAGTTGTGCTATTGCTCCGTTATAATTTATATTTATCGGAAGAATTTTGTTGTATAATTATTTCAAAATTATTCGTTCTTACAAATTTAAATTTATAAATAAATTTAATATTTAAAATAATAAAAATAATAAAATAATATTTAAAAATATAAATCGTAGAAGTAATGATTTCTCTTTTTAATGAAAATACCCGATGCTTAATTTACAAAGATACTAGAAGAAATATTCGTATTTATAATTTCTATTTAGTAGAATTTCATTGTTATTTCTTAAACTATCTTCAAACAACACAAAGTGCTATTTCTCCGTTTATAATTTATATTTATCGGAAGAATTTTGTTCTAAAATTATTTCAAAATTATTCGTTCTTATTGATGTTCGAAAACATACCATTTCTTCATTATAAATGTTATGCTTTTGAAAATACTCATAGTCAAGTTATTCAAAATTACAGAAATTCTCCCAAGCAAACTGAAAGAGAAACTTCAATATCCTCCACGTATGTACATCCGCTAAAAATTCGTCCACAGATCTTCAAATTCACAGCAGAAACTCAGAAGAATAAATTCCGT